AATTAAAATATAATATAAATAAATAAAAAATTTTCTTTAATTAATAATAAAATAAAAATTAATAATCACAAAAAAACATAAAAACATAAAAAATCATAAAACATAAATGATGAAAATCTACTTAGGGGTGGCATTAATACATGATAGAGGTGTCATTAGCCACCCCCAATAAAATATAACAATACAAAGACAGCTGAATTAATTATCTGACATATGATTTAAAAACACAAATAAATAGATAAGGACCAAAGTGAGCCACTTCATTTTTATTTATTTATTTACATAATTAATTTTTTAATGATTTTTTTGTTATATCTTTATTTGAAATATATAATCATCTTTTAAAAGTTAGACGTCTTGAAAGGTGGTTTACCTAAACACTTATTCGGTAAGTATTTATTTGTAAAATTCAACATTATCGTTTACTTATTGGGTAAGATTTTAGTCCACCAAAATGACATCGTATGTAACAACTTACCCGGTAAGTGTTAACCATGGTAAGAGTCGTCGTCATCATTACTTACCGGGTAAGACTCTTAGTCCTTGTTTTTACTCTTATCGGGTAAGATTCTTGATCATTGTCATATTCACCCAGTAAAGTAATGTTATTTGGGCTTACTCGGATAAGCATTTGGTAAACGGTCTTGAAGTAATCAATAATTTGTTTTTGAAAAACATTACTTATGTTTTAAATAAGTTTTATTAATGAAATATAACCATAATTAAAATAAATTATATTCATGCAATAAGTTTGCTCTTATTAAAGTTTTTTGACATGATAAACAATAGGGTAAAGTTGTGAGAATGAAAGTTATGATGAAAAGAATAAAAAATGATCTTCACTCTTAGATCAATCATAATTGAAGAGAACTGTTAGATCAATTCCTTTCTAAAGCGTACTTCATAAGTTGTTTTGGTATTAAAAGTGATCAATAGTCCAAATCTCTTCTTACACTTCTCGCACAAATCCTTCGTCATATAAATAACATTGGATATAAAAACTTTTGTCGTAATAAAACCACCCATATTTAATTGTATGACCCCACATCGGTTGAGCAAGAGAACAAAAATTTTGTTAACAAGGGACTGAATATCTAATCTACTAGACGTGTTTTAAAATCGTAAATCCATGTGTCATGGGCGAACCTATATTGATTGATACGATGACACGGGTCACCGGTTCATGGTTCCGTAGTAAGGGGGAAAAGTACATTTTTGAAAGGTGTTGTCGTTTTTGATGATTAATGTTTTTACCTTTGTACAAAAAATCCAGATTCGAGTCTGTTGAGAAAATTTGTAAAATTAAAATTAAAAAGGAAATTCTTGACAACAATTTAAAACAGATAAACCGAACTGCTGAGTCGCAGACTAGATCGCTTTCATTAAGGAGAATTCTGACGCTCTGTTTAATGCGATGTCCCCCAGGATGAAACAACCCAATCTCAATTGAGTTGCAGAGCTCAATTGGTATCTCTATTACTGTATTTTCTTATCTCAAGAAAACTCAAGACTTAATTTTTTGCTTTTTCACCAATAAATCGAGTACATTTATAATGAAGACGAAGATAATCGCTCTGAAATATCAGCCTAAAAATACGCTTGTTCATTTACTAAGTCGGATGTTTTTAAATCCAAAATTAAAAACATGTAAAATTGGTAGGAAATTCGGCAGATTAAATAACATCCGAAAATTACATTATCCGGAATTTTAACATCCGAAAATTACATTAATTCTTTCACGTGTTAACAGTTACAATAAAAGCAAAGAAAGACATCAAAATTTTACATAAAAACCCCAATGGAAAAAACCTCGAACAAAGAACACTACTGAATGATCTAATATATCGATTTCTCCATGGTACATAGTACAAGCAGCCTCAAGTTTTTCCTTGGCACGATCATGTCGACAATCTAGTAAGGTTGCTGCCATGAGATGTACGCAACTTTGAAAGCAATATGCAACTTGCATATAAACCTACTGTTCAGTTAGATTTAAATCGTATTCTAAAACAGAATATTTGTTTCTCTCTCTTAACAGGTCCAAACATCACAAGGTAATATTGTTTGATGATTTGTCTTGCCACTTACATAATAAGTGGACCACTTTAATTTTATTCATGATTTACCACTTGAAAGTAAATATAGGAAGAGGTGCATTAGCAAGATAGCAAGGAATGGGGTTTATAGGGTTCGGTTCGAGTCGTGATTCGGTTTGGTGTGTTAGCTTTGCCCACCTCCCTCTAAAAAGACAAAACGAATATTCAATCAATGCTACTGTTTTGTACTATACCAAGATTTTCCATTCCTACAACAGTTAGAGAATGATACCATTCATCCTTAGACCAATGACAAATCACAAGTTGAAATCAATTTCAATTGCAAGCATGAAGAAAACCATTTTCATCCAAGCAAGAAACTACTTGCCCAGCCATTTCGGATGGTGTTGGACAAACTCCATCCTTCTGTTCGATATTGATCTGCAAAAGAACACGCATGGATTCACAAAAAACATGTGAAAGAACGCAAATTGAATGGCAAAATGTACGTACCTCGCAGTTCAAAGGTGGTTCGTAAGGATCATCAATCCCAGTAAACCCTGCAGTGCCTTGGGATTACTATACGAATGAGCTAGATTGCAATTACCAAATCTACTTGCCTTCTAATTCTAATTGCAAACAAACTACAATCGTTCTTGCAAAGATTTAAATCTACCAACCAGACTGTAAGAGGTACCAATTAAATTGGTAAAATTGGTACACATGTTGGCTGGTTTGATACAAAATTACGACCCCTAACAAAACCAACCATCAAGCTAGGCCACAAGCACTATTTAAAGGGCATTTCATTTCATTTATTTCCATGTTGTGGTGTGTGTATTCCACAAAAGGGACTCTTAGAAATGGGATAAGCTAAAGGAATTGATTAAATATCCATCAAGATCATGTAGCAAGCTATGATTTATCAATTTATATCATTTTGTGAGTCTCACATTCATTTCTCCTAGCCAAGTAAAGAGGAATTCTCCTTTTGATGCATACCATAAAAATGTCTAAAGACCAAAACAAATGGAAGCGATATATGTTTGGCCTTTGTGTTACTAGAAGCAACTGATTTCGGTTTCAAAGATCAATAATGATTTAGGTATAAATCCTACCTTTAATCTTTCCAGCTCGTGCAAGTTTGTAAAGACCTTTAGGATCTCTTTCTTCACATACTTCAAGAGTCATGTTCATGAAAACCTGCAAGTATATAATATGTATAGCTTCCTTTCCTAAAAGCACACACACACTATTCACAGAAAAAAGCTCAGAAAGAAGCATTGCCTCTATAAAATTTGCATCTGTCAACATTGCACGGCATGCATCACGATCCTTTCTATAAGGAGATATCAGGCTGGCAATGCAGATTAAGCCAGCATCCGCAAACAGTGTTGCTACTTCTCCTAATATGATCATAAATGAACTCCTAGTCAGACCAACAAGAGTCTAAAAAATAGAGAATGGCCTTAATAAATGTAACATTTGAACCTTTAAAAGGAATTAACAAAAGAAACTCCAAGTATCTCAGTAATGCACATCATATTCTCTGGACTCTTTTATAAAACCGTACAAGTCAATACATGAAAATCAAGCTCGTTGATTCAAATTGACCTATATGCAACTAACAGTGTCATTCTTGTTTAAGTTTAACGGGTAGACAACTCTTAAATTGGGGAAAAAATTGATTCGTTATGAAGGAAGATCCTTACCAACACGACGGATATTCTCGGTTCTATCTTCAGCTGAGAACCCAAGATTTTTATTCAATCCATGCCTAACATTGTCACCATCGAGAACGTAGGAGAGCTTTCCCCTGGAGTGAAGCTCTCTATCCAATGAGCATGCAAGTGTACTTTTACCTACAAAATCCCATTAAAAAACTGTCAAGAGAGAACTTGCAACATAAAGCATGCACAAGTGGGTAAACGATCCAAACACAGCAATAAGAAATTTAGATGCTTGAGTGCGAACCTGACCCACTGAGACCTGTGATCCATACAACACATCCTTGTTGGTTTATCAGCTTTTGCCTTTCGGCCTTCCCAACTGCGCATTCATGCCAGAAAACGTTTGTTGGGTTACCCATGGTCGACATTTTAGAACACTCTTCACTTCCCTATGCCAAGACTTGTAAAAACACTACGGCGATCAGTATTCTGAAAAATATGCGACAAGAAGTCTTCATATAATACATTCTTGAATCTTAATTAATGTCTGATCTGCACATATCAAGATGATAGAAATCCAACTTTCATATACTAATGAGTAATGAATGTGCTTGCTAGCCAAGTTATTACTCTCTCAATCCCCTAATTAGATTCCACTTTTCGAAAGAAGGCAATGGAGAGGGCGTGTTTCTAACCCTTTTGAGTGCGATATCCAAAGTTCTCTCTTTCTTGACTAAGAATAAGTTGGCCATACAGAAAAATATATAAGAAATATTGCAATACAAACATTGAGCCAACAAACCATAACCATCTATTTCAAATTAGAGTCTGGGAAATGGAAGATGTGATTATGAAAAATCAAATATGGAGAATTGCCTCTCCCCAAAAACGGACTTTTTGCTATATTCTCCAATATGGGAAAAGAAAGGAAATACACTTTTTTATTTGTGTTCTCGAAAATAAGGAAAGAAAATAATTTTTCATGTTCTTGAACAAAGAAAGGAAAGATGTATCTTCATAAATATACCCTTATATTTGTCTCTCTCACGTTTATCATATATGGGTAGATATGTAATTTAAGTAATCCTGTTAAGGGTTATTATTTTTCCTTCCCTTTCTTCCCACATTTGGGTGGAAAGTTTTGGAAAGAAAGACATAATTTATTTCCTTTCTAATTCCTTTCCAGTTCAAGAACATGAGCTTTCTTATTTTTCCTCCACTTTCCCTCTCTTCCCTTTCCTTCATAGAAAAAAGGTCTGGAGAACAAGGCGTAAACATTATCAAAATTTTAAAAGAAAATCAAACATCTCCGGACTCTTTGGGGTAGAGCGGTTGTTGTAGTTGTCAACTACACAAACAAATAAGAAACTCTTGACACTTGGCCTATAACTCAACTAATCACAACGAACACCACTCCTTGAGTTTAAAACTAACCTCACTATGATTGAAAATCCATTGTATCAGAATCGCACTAAAAGTATTCAATTAGATGTATGTTTTTCTTTCCTATATATTACACTATTTGAGGGAAAACGGTAATTGAGATGGTGAATTGGTGGTTTGACAAATAACCTATTCCTTCCGCAATGACCTGATTGGATCACGATGAACCCTTCAATAACTCAACCATAAATGTCCAGGCATCTGATAAGTTCCAAGTGAAACCTTCAATTGGAATAAAACCAATTATGCACTATAAACCATTTGATCAAATATTCATGCAGTTTTCTCATCCAGTTTGCTATACACTTCCGCTAAATCAAAAGAAAAACATACCTAAAAAACAAAAACCTAGCATAATACCGTTTCCAGGGTTTAAGGAATAAAATCACAAGAAATTACACGAAACAGTGAATCCCTAACACCCAATCTCCAATTTGATGCCAAAATGCGCATAAAATTGTAAATAATACGAACAACAACAAACAGAAAAAGTAATTCATCATCAGGAACAGGAGAAACAAGTGGAGATATCAGTAAAAAATAGTACCTGCAAATTGAAGGAGATGAAAGTCGTTGAATGTGAAAGAAGATAAGACTTTTAATGCAATCGGTGAATGAATATGGACGTATTTGCAGGTATGATTATGAATTAGTTGCGAGTGCGGTGTGGATTGGAATTCAAATGAGTGCATCAGCGATTTGGGGGAAATTGGATCTCTTAAATGCCATGATTTCGTCGGTTCCCGCTCTTAAATGCGCGCTCCGTTTCGTGATTTCCGCCCCTCTGTCGATAACAAACAGAAAAAAAGGGGTTTGTTTGAACCATCTGGTTGTTAGAAATTCGGGTGTACACACAGATTTTGTAGTTATTTTCTCCTAATTTAATTTTTTTTAATTTGGAAGAAATTATGTTGTTTTTATATCAGAATAAGATCAAATCATTTATTAAGAATATTCGTATAATACAGCGAGATACATCTCGATTTTAATATTTTCTTTTATTTCTTTATTTTGTCTCAGTCGATGTTATAACACGGTTCTACATGACTTTAAGAATCGATAATGTTTTTATTTTTGAATAAAATATAAATATTAAGATTTCATAAAATTTTGTAAAAAAAAATATTAATATATTAATACCAAACTAACTATTTAAAATTTCTCTTCTTTTGTTTAATTCATTTTTGTATTTTTTGTTTAATAATATAGATTTTTTTTAATTAATAATTAAGTGTTTGGTTAGAAATCAATGATTATTGATTATTTTAATTATATTTTTTATATTTAAAATGAGATGTTTATACTCTAGTTCATTATGTTTATTTGTACTTAGTTACACGAATTCAAACATAAAGTTTTAGTAAGTTGTATTTGCACATAATTTACTTGTAATCTTAAATTTTAAGTAATATGCATCAATAAACAATACTTCATACATAAAAAATGGTTTTTAAGAGTTTTTGTCAAATGTTTCATAATATAGTATAGATAAACAATAAATTTTGATATCGATGTGTTTGAAGAGAAAACTAATAAGTAAAAGTACATTTACCATACTCCAATTTTTTAACTACAATTAAAAATAAAAAACAGGAACAAGAGAGTATAAGGCAGTAAGCAACAAAGATCTACGAGGTGCAGCAAAAACCGAGAAAAACTGCCAAAAAAAAAACCACAGACCAAAACAAAACGACCTCGAAACACAGGAAAAACCAAAGGCGAAAAACCCTACAACATCTAAAAAAGATTGATCTGTATAGGCATTTGGCTAAGTAATCCAAGAGTCCCAAGATTTAGAGAATAACTTGCACCTTAGAGATATCCAAACGAAAGAGCGATATTGCATTTCTCCAAAAGGTTTACGAGATTGAACATTGAGTAGAGAGATACGTTAGTTAAATGTTCCTGTTGATGGGATAAGATCGAACAACAATTACAATTGACTAAGAAACTCTGAGTCAGGAACACCACGACCGGAATAGAAAATTCAGATTAGCGACAATCAAAGGGTCCATAAGCTCAAAGGCTAATAAGGCCTAGAGGCTCTTAGCTCAGACTTAGCAAAAATAAGTAAAGACTCGAAACTCTGAGTTCATATCCTTCGGATCCACACTTAGGGGCCATTTATCAAATACTTATCTGGTAAGTGATTACCGGTAAATTTTAACACTATTATGTACTTACCGGGTAAGATTTTAATCCACCAAAACAACATCGTATACAACAATTTACCCGGTAAGCGCTTACAGTGGTAAGAGTCGTCGCCGTCACTTACCGGGTAAGATTCTTGGTCCTTACTATATTCATTCGGTGAGTTAATGTTACTTGGTAAGCGCTTACCCAGGTGGTCGGTTATATTTCACACCTCTAGACTAATGAAATTGGGCCAAAAAGCAAGTATACCATACGGCCCAATGTCGTCTTTCCAAGTAATAAATGGTACAAGTACCGAGTTATCGTCCACAGGGACTGTAGCCGAAGTTAGATTAGAGTCCAATGAAAGAGATGATTTCAGAAGGCGATTTTGAAGACTTTTCTCTGATTTTAAGGTTATCCAAAACAGAATACA